CTGAAACAGAACGGCAATAATGTCAGAAGGTAGAAGACAGACAGGCAAGCAATCAGGTGGGCGAGAAGAGCAGAGACATCAGGCAGTCAGGAAGGCAGGTAGAAGAAACACATGCAGGAAATTAGGTAGGAAGAAGATAGATAGAAGGAAAGAGTATTTCGTATATTAGAGTACTATAACAGAAAAAGGCTGGCATTATACGTAATATGTTATTATTTTTTTTAATATAAAATATAGCGGACGAGGGGGGGGGGGGGGGGGGGGACAGACAGACAGACATCATCCACCGAAGTGCCGATTGCTCTACAAAATTTAGGTCTAGCCCTATATGCCCAATACGCACAAAGGTGTGGAAAAGGGTCTTCATGCACTGCTGTCTTTGGTATTATTACGTAGCGAAACCTAAATCTCTTTCATGCTACTCCAGTACTACTCACCACGAGAGAAAGAGAAACCAACAGTTTGCGATGGAAGTCGAGAAACACATACATACATACATACACAGAAAGACACACGAACCTTTTACAAACCAAAACCAGTACAGGCGTTACCCGAGAGATATGCGCAAACATAAACGATGCCATAATACGCAGGCATAACAAATGCCATAACACACAAGATATAAATGCAGTCGTTACATCCGAGCCTGGGAACCGCCAGCTGGACAATTTATTTTCTCCATATCTGCTTAAGGAAGAAATGATTCTAAAAAGGCTGCCCAAAGACCCCGTAATAAAGGCTGCCCAAGACCCCGTGAGAAAGGCTGCCCAAAGACCCCGCGAGAAAGGCTGTCCAAAGACCCCGTGAGAAAGGTTGTCCGAAGACCCCGTGAGAAAGGCTGTCCAAAGACCCCGTGATAAAGGCTGCCCAAAGACCCCGTGAGAAACGTTGCTGGTGTTGGGCGCACTCTCGGACCCTTGATACGGAAACTATTAGCACGGTGCAGAGTGATGGCTTCTCTTTTTAGGGTCTCTAAAAGAGGAACGAACGTACACGGATCGTTTCAAGACGCGAAGTATGAATCTAGTATGATGGGCTGCATCTTAGTGTGAGACACGAGTGATAAATATGGTTTGTCGCCAGGAGAAATAAAAACACATACGATTGTTCCTGCCTGTATGTACACATGCATTAACGAACTGAAAGAATCCCATCAGAGCTGGATGAAAACGGTCGCAAAGAGAAATTCGGACTAAATTAATCGAACAATTTCCCGTGTGGGTTCCGGGGCCCTATTATAGGGAAAACAAGAATAGACCCATTGCCTACCCAAAAGCATGTCGTAAGAGTCGACTAACTAGGAGCTTCCTTCGAAGCCGGATTGCATCTGTCTAGGCAAGGAACCAGCAGTCTGTATACAAATTAGTCAGATCTGTAAAACTGATGCACACGCAAAACTCAGGTTCTGGAACAGGACTGCAGTCCAGAAGTGGATGAACAATCAGAACTTCCCGCCAGAGTTTACAGCTGGTGAACGCGGAGAAGCAACAACAAAAAAAATCGAAAAAAAAAAGGTAACACAATGCGCTTAAGATATGCTGATCACAGCTAGCGGTTTTTTATTTGCCGATTTGCCGCTGCTGGTGGTACTGTTGGTGATGGTAAATCCTCCAACAAAATAGGTGTTAACAAGACACTGCATTTGTGTTTCAGCAGTCTCGGTCATGGAAGAGGCTTGAATCTAACAAAGCGAGGTGGATGTGTGTGTGCGCGCGCGTGCGTGCGTGCGTGTGCCTATCCCTCCCCTCCTCCTCCTCGTTCCGTGAGTACGGGCCCTAGACATCTTACCACCCCAGGGAGAGCGATATCATTCCATGTCTTTTGTCCAAGGAATATATTTCAAACCACGTTCACTGGTTTTTTTTTTTTTTTTTCTGAATGCGGCATCCATCTCAACATCCGCGTTTCTTATCAAAATTCCGCCACGGGCTTGGGCGTGAGCGCTGCATGTACCCCGCATACATGAACAGGTTAGGGTGATCTTGATTGTGCACGGTCGGCGGACCGGGCTGTTACACTTTCACCGAAAATGTACAAGCACTAACAGATTGAACATACGGCCAAGCAGTCCGAGAGAGAGAGAGAGAGAGAGAGAGAGAGAGAGAGAGAGAGAGAGAGAGAGAGAGAGAGAGAGAGAGAGAGGATAAGGGACAGGGGAAAACAGAGAAGACGGGGAGCTAAAGAGAGACTAAGAATTTCTTCTTCTTCTTTTCGCGTTCATTAAAGTTATGGTTGTTCGTTAATCTCTTGACTTTAATCTTGTTCCAGAAACGGGGTGTTGCATGTACATCCGTTTTACAGATCTGAATTATTGACTTATTTGTATACTGAGAGAATGTGATTTAGGGGGTCAAAGAGTTAAAATGGACACGTATGTCTAAGGAGAGCTATAATAGACAGAAATGTGTGTGGGTGTTTGTAGAAAAGGGGAGAGTGGTTTATAGAGAAAAAGACAAAGAGACAAATGGAGAGATGAGGAACTATACAGAAAAGAAGATACGTATGAAGTAAAAAAGGATCTTTTTCCACGCCTGTAGACATATTGAATTTAATATGACCATACCTATATTTTATAGACCAATGGATATTTGGTGAGTGATTTAGTCTTATCAAGCCGGCCGCTTTTACTTCATATGAGTTTTACCTGGTACGTATTTAAGGCCGGGTCGACCTGGCAGAAAAAGGTCCCGCTCCATTCGGATTTGAACCCACGACCTTCAAAGAGTAGGCAAGCGTCTAGCCGCTACGCCACGCTGCTTTCCCATGTACATACATAGAGACAGCGAAAAAAGTAACAAAGACTGAAGGGAGTGGGGGAGAGAGAGAGAGAGAGAGAGAGAGAGAGAGAGAGAAGAGAGAGAGAGAGAGAGAGAGAGAGAGAGAGAGAGAGAGAGAGAGAGATTAGCGATTAGAGCAGTAGTTCTTAACCTTCATAATGCCGCGACCCGTTTAATACAGTTCCCTCATGTTGTGGCGAACTCCCAAACAATGATCGCCCTTCATAACTTCAATAAATGTATGTTTTCCGATGGTCTTAGGCAACCCTGTGACCCCCCAAAAAAGGGTCGCGGACCCGCAGGATAAGGGACAGGGAAAACAGAGAAGACGGGAGCTAAAGAGAGACTAAGAATTTCTTCTTCTTCTTTTCGCGTTCATGAAAGTTATGGTTGTTCGTTAATCTCTTGACTTTAATCTTGTTCCAGAAACGGGGTGTTGCATGTACATCCGTTTTACAGATCTGAATTATTGACTTATTTGTATACTGAGAGAATGTGATTTAGGGGGTCAAAGAGTTAAAATGGACACGTATGTCTAAGGAGAGCTATAATAGACAGAAATGTGTGTGGGTGTTTGTAGAAAAGGGGAGAGTGGTGTATAGAGAAAAAGACAAAGAGACAAATGGAGAGATGAGGAACTATACAGAAAAGAAGATACGTATGAAGTAAAAAGGATCTTTTCCACGCCTGTAGACATATTGAATTTATATGACCATACCTATATTTTATAGACCAATGGATATTTGGTGAGTGATTTAGTCTTATCAAGCCGGCCGCTTTTACTTCACATGAGTTTTACCTGGTACGTATTTAAGGCCGGGTCGACCTGGCAGAAAAAGGTCCCGCTCCATTCGGATTTGAACCCACGACCTTCAAAGAGTAGGCAAGCGTCTAGCCGCTACGCCACGGCTGCTTCCCATGTACATACATAGAGACAGCGAAAAAAGTAACAAAGACTGAAGGGAGTGGGGGGGAGGGAGAGAGAGAGAGAGAGAGAGAGAGAGAGAGAGAGAGAGAGAGAGAGAGAGAGAGAGAGAGAGAGAGAGAGAGAGATTAGCGATTAGAGCAGTAGTTCTTAACCTTCATAATGCCGCGACCCGTTTAATACAGTTCCCTCATGTTGTGGCGAACTCCCAAACAATGATCGCCCTTCATAACTTCAATAAATGTATGTTTTCCGATGGTCTTAGGCAACCCCTGTGACCCCCAAAAAAGGGTCGCGACCCGCAGGATAAGGGACAGGGGAAAACAGAGAAGACGGGGAGCTAAAGAGAGACTAAGAATTTCTTCTTCTTCTTTTCGCGTTCATGAAAGTTATGGTTGTTCGTTAATCTCTTGACTTTAATCTTGTTCCAGAAACGGGGTGTTGCATGTACATCCGTTTTACAGATCTGAATTATTGACTTATTTGTATACTGAGAGAATGTGATTTAGGGGGTCAAAGAGTTAAAATGGACAAGTATGTCTAGAGAGAGCTATAATAGACAGAAATGTGTGTGGGTGTTTGTAGAAAAGAGGAGAGGGGTGTACAGAGAAAAAGACAAAGAGACAAATGGAGAGATGAGGAACTATACAGAAAAGAAGATACGTATGAAGTAAAAAGGATCTTTTCCACGCCTGTAGACATATTGTATTTATATGACCATACCTATATTTTATAGACCAATGGATATTTGGTGAGTGATTTAGTCTTATCAAGCCGGTCGCTTTTGCTTCACATGAGTTTTACCTGGTACGTATTTAAGGCCGGGTCGACCTGGCAGAAAAAGGTCCCGCTCCATTCGGATTTGAACCCACGACCTTCAAAGAGTAGGCAAGCGTCTAGCCGCTACGCCACGGCTGCTTCCCATGTACATACATAGAGACAGCGAAAAAAGTAACAAAGACTGACGGGAGTGGGGGAGGGATGCAGGGTGATAAAGAGAGAAACAGGCAGACGTAGAGAGGCAGAGATGGAGACAAAGCCTACTGCAAAGATCTGATAAACGAAACACAGAATATCAGATGAGGAAATCAAAAGACAGAAAAGGAAATCACAATCAAGATTGGACGGGTGCAGAAAAAAAATGGACGCCTCAGATTTCTGGGGGAGTCTCGAGAAAACGTGCCTTCTCTCCACAGCTATCCACAACATGATAGCGTGGTGTCGAGTGTCTGAGATGGTAGAGTTAAGGCACAATACGCTCCAGCCGCATCATAATTAATAATAGCTATATTTAGCAT